TTAAACTTAATAACCATCTTTTTATACTCCACATCTTCTGCTATTATACAGCAGCATAAAAATCTACAAAAGTTAGAAAAAGAATCCAAAGAAACTTTTTGGTCTATCCGAGAAATTGCTAAGTTCGCACGCCAATATGCGTACACGCCAATCATTAAGAGTTTGCCTTCAACAGTAGGGTCGAAACGGGAAGGGTCATGCCAATTCTCAGCGTTCGTACAAAGCGAACTAAAACGCAAAACTGACAATTTACCCTTTCTACTAACATATAAAAAACCTTTCGTCCCGTGCACCCATTCCCTGGTTAATTTCATCGACACACCAGAAAGGTACGTGATGTGTTGCATGGACAATGTAAAGGCGGTATTAGCCATGTACGTTCACCTCCAGCGTCATTTTGCCAATGTGACCACTTCGTATTTAGTCGGAAACTAACTACCATAGATAGTTCGAAGTAAAGTTTTCACTACCTGTCAATATGCCTTGAATTTCCTGTTCAATCGCCTTCATCTTCTGTAGTTAATCTCAGAGTTTATATCGTCCATGGAATTCAAATGGCATATCCATTAATGAGTGCTTCTAATTCGTCGTAGCTGTCAGGCAGATTATAGTAAAACTGGTAATTCTTCGAATTTTTCTCACGTTATTATTATTCAATGTTATTATCTTATCTTCTTTTTTACAAAGTTACTTTAAGCGCCTCGCGCTTTGACTTTATCACATCAATTCTGTCCTTACCATAATTTCGATTCTCAAGAAATATGTTGATCTGATCAGTAAATGCCTTATTTTCTATATTAAACCCGTTTCTATATAAACCCAGTTAATTTATGGTTTGAACTGTTGCCATTTGGCAGCGCCTAAGTTCCTTTAATGTTTTGTAATTTGTATAAAAACATAAGTATAAAAATGCAAAGAAACCGTGTATCAAGTAGATCAAATTGGCGTCAACATCATATGGGTGCAGATTTTCTCAGGTCGAAATTTCGCTTTCTATGGAGCGTGATTTGTATTTACGGTTAATGTCCTTTTGCAACTCGCTGATTAAAAACCTCGCATCACTTTTGCTCTCGCAAGAGAAGGCTTGAAAGTCACGGAACATTGTTGTATTTTCCAAATATTTGACGTGATCAGTATTGCGGACGTTTATCTCAAGCATAATAATAGGTTGCTTCAAATAAGTTCTCGTTCTTTTTTATCCACTTCGTGACTTCGGATACATCGTTGAAATTTTGTTGTAAAAACATCGGCCACATTTTCTAAACTTTAATTTGTTGCTTTACATTACCTATTATCTTCAACTTCTGATGCAGCATGATTTTGATTTAAATACTTCAGCTCGGCCTTTTAAGGTTCAGCGCTCTGATTACAGGCATTGGATAATTCAGAATCGGATAGACGTTCAATTTGAACATTTTACAAATTCTGAACGTGAACTTCTAATAACTCGACAGCATTCTGCAAATCTTCTTATTTATTCTTATAGATTACTCGCATTTGCTTATCCAAAAGTCAATCTTTTTATTATTTATCATTACATGTTAGTCTTCGATTTTCTTAACATTTTCACTTTATTTCTCTCAGCTTGTTTCAAATCTTGTTTCTTGTCTTCCATCTGCATGTTTAGTTGAGTAGGAAGATTGCCAAAATCCCATGTTTTCCTTATCAATATTTGCTAATAGCTTTTCAGCCAATTTCCAGTCTTTAGCACGTTCTGTAAGATTTGCGGAGAACTCGTCGGTTTCGAGTTTAGCTCTTTTATTGTTACAAGCAATCAGTTTTTCTTCAATTTCTTGAACATTAAATCGATGCACTGCTTCCCCGTCGTACACTTCTACCGATATTGTAATGGATGAACGACCGTTTTTAATGTAATCCGAGTCTGTCCTACTGCCCGTCTGATGTCGGTCCATGCATTTTTGCGTTTAAGCTACATGTTATGGAATGCGATGCATTGGCGTGCTTTTAACCATTTTAACCAACTCCCCACACAAATGGAGCCCGACCGGGGCAAATCGTCGAACTTGCTGTTCCTACGAAAACTGAACCTTTATATGGTGAAAAAATGAGGTTTTTAATATTTCATGGTGGAAAATAGTTCGTAATAGTAAATTGTACCGAATATGGACCACTTAGTACGGCATTTAAGGATTCTCAGGAAATATGAATCGTCAGATTTGAGTAGATAGAAAGTGAATAGTTTTTATTGTAAGGATCTCAATTTTCGTAACTTAGCGATGAGTAACTTAATGATGAGTTTTACATGATGGAAGCGATTGCAGAGTGGCTGAAAAAGCAGTGTGTTCCGAACGGTTCTCTTCCTTAGTTCAAACTATGCCGGTATGCACAATTTCATAGAGCCAAGACGGACAGACGGGCGGACAAGCTTTAATCGACTTAGAAAGAAACTGTAAACCGATTGGTGTGTCTATCTCGAGTTCTCTGGGTGTTGCATAAACTTGATATACCCTTGTATGACAACTGGTGTAGGGTACATTGGAAGCATAATGTATTTTAAGGATTAAACCAAGGCAAGACGAGATTCCATACTATTAGTATATCGTTGATGGCTATATTCTCGCTTAAGATGTAGTGTGACTTCGTTTTGTAAATTAAGTTTAATTTTGCGACTTTGAAATTCTTTTATCCCTTCTTAACATTAAGTTACTCTTATTTGTACAACCTATCATCTCCATCAATCATTTCCCACATTTTCACAAACAACGTCGATTCTGTCATTGAACTTACAAAGTAGAATAAGTGACATATATCCCGTTGTTACTTACTTGCATTGTAACTTAGGAAAAATAATTTTGTAAAATTTAATTGTGGCAATGTAAGATTGTGTTGTGGTGTCGGATGGTAAGTGTTTGGCCCCTTCTTTCATTGACCGTTCATTCTTATTTGGTGAATGTAAAAGGAAGGCTGAATAAAAACATGTTTAATGAATTTTTGTATAATAATATGGACATTTATTTTTAATTAAAGTTTATAATCAAAATTAAATTCATATTTATGTCACAAAAAATCATTGTTTTAACTTAATAATAAATAACAGGTAAATCCTTCTTTTTTTTTTTTTGTCTCTTTTGCAATGCAATTACAACAATGTTTTTATTATCAATTTTTTTAAAATTCTAATTTATACTTTATTCAATTTAAGTAACAACACATCAACTATATTACAAAATGTACAAACAATTGATTGCGAAAGTATTTGTTTCAATATTCAAATAATGCACGTCCATAAACTCATTTAATTACCAACGTTATGATGCATGCTTATAAATAAATGAAACGGCGCGTAAGGGTAAAAAACCAAAAAAAAAATTTTAAACAATAGGTAAAGAAAAAAGCAATGTTTATATAACGAGCAAGGAGAAATAGTAGAAGACTGGAGCTTCATCCTACAGTGCAGTGCTTTGTAGATTAAAACTCCAGTTGTAGTCATCCAAACCTTTTTTAAAGTCTAAAAGTTAATTAATGTCAGGAAGCACGTAGCGTAAGTCCCATAGACAAACCAGCTGATAATGTAGAGTAACCGAGTGGTTAAGAATCAAGGCGGCAATGCGGATCCATGTCTCAAGT